GAAGAAGAAGAAGAAGAAGAAGAAGAAGAAGAAGAAGAAGAAGAAGAAGAAGAAGAAGAAAAAGAAGAAGAAGAAGGAAGATGATGATGACGATGAGGAAGAAAAAAAAGAAATAAGCGTGGCGGAAGATGACTTTCACCGAACTCCGATTACCTTCATTGGTGATTAATCGGTTGAATAATATATCGCTGTATCATTTTGTTTAACGCGGATAGAATTATTTGTCGCTTAATGTTGAGAAAAAACATTTAAATTTGACAAATTCTTAAATTATCTGAATTATACAGTTACAGATTTTTGATTAAAAATTTTGAGAGTAACGTCATTTTTCTTTAAATATCTCTCTTCATAAGTTTAAACATTAATGTTAATGAAGTTTTTCTTTCCGTAGATAAAGTCCGGATGCTGGCATCGATTTCTTTTTCTCGTCGACAGAATTGCAGCCCAGAAATTGGAATGGATATAGCGGATAGGTGGTAACGAACAGACGAAGAGGACACGATCGATCTCGATTTTGATTTTATTTCCTTCCTGACATGTAATGCGCAACGCGTTCTGTTTTAGCCCTCGCCGACGATCGGCGCGCGGGAGCGTAATTGCTACAGCTCTTTCTTCTCTTTCTTTTTTTTTTATTACTTTTTTCGCGTTTACAGTACGTACACGTGCATCGTATGTGCACTTTAGACGGGTCGCATTTACGGGCGAACTCGCGCCTGCCGCGCTTTATTTACAACGCGAGTCGCGTATTTTCAAAACCCGCCAGAATCCGGTCTGAGAATTCAACCAGGAATGACTGTACGACCGAAATCCGATTAACTCGATCGGTTATTAACTTTTGTCAAGTAATACTGGCAATATTTCGCGAATAGAATTGTTGATTCTTTGTTGTTTAAAATCCTTTGTTGTGTAGAAAAAGAAAGATTGGATCAGATACAACGAATTATATATATGTAGTTAGAGATTGCGCGTCGTGCGAATTAAATTCGTTGCCGGTTGAATCGCCGATTAAGTTAATCGGGTTTTGTTCGAAGTCATCCCTGGAAGTCAGTTCTTCGACGATCGTTCTGAAGCTAAACTTCCTGATTCCTTGTAAAAGCTCTGCTCCTTAAAAGTTCGATTGCATTCTGGCGGAAAATCTTGACTGATGTTCAACATAAAAAAAAAAAAAAACAATTCTCTATTACTCAGAAATATAATGATATTTTATTGACGATAGCTGTGTAACATCTCGAGTACGAAATTCTTTCGTTACCGAAGACGCCAAGCACAAATATGCTTCCAGTAAATTTTATTACATAAAAAATACCACTCTATATCTTCCGTAGATTGTCTAAAATAAGAAGAGTGACGTGTGTTTTTTTTATCTCGTGAGAAAGACAAGAACGACGAGCGACGAAGATAGTGGCGGGTGTTGAAAATGAGCGTCTCGTTCGATAGTCGGTACAGTTATTGAGGAAAAATTAGCGCGCGAGCCGCCCGAATTGCGAATTACGCTTCGTTATCGTAAACAAATAAATAATTTATCTTCTCGCACGAATGTACTCCCGGCTCGCGGCCAAGTCGCCCACTCGACTTGCGCGAGCTCAGCCTTTCTTACGCCTTATGATTAATATTATTTAACATTTAAGAGTCATTATGGAAGATTGAAGTGCACCGCCAATCCCTCGCGCGTCTCCCTGCTTAATTAATCTTGTTCTCGCTGGCCAATTAATCGAATCTGACGAAAGAAAACGACTTAAGGAAGGATCGGAGGGGAGGTTCGCGTAAAATTAAATACCAGGTTTGAAACGGAATTATTGAAAAAATTTAATTTTCTCAGCCTTTTGTTCTTAAAGAAAGAACTTGTCGTGATTTTCAGAAAGAAACGGGACAACTGGCAACGTCACGG